CACACCCAAACTCCCTCTCAGAACCCGCACCCCCACCTGCACCCCAACTCCCTGCCCCAGCCTGGATCCCCCTCCTGCACCCTGAACCCCTCATTTCTGACCCCACCCCAAAGCCCACACCTGCAGCCCAGAGCCCATACCCCCTCCCATACCCCAACCCCCTGCCTCACTCCAGAGCCCCATCCCACACTCCGAACCCCTCAGCCCAGAGCCCCCTCTTGTACCCCAAACCCCTCATCCCCAGCCAAGAGTCTGCACCCCCAGCCCAGAGCCTATACCTCTTCCCACACCCCACACCCTCCCAGCCACCAGCCCAGATCCCCCCCTGCACCCCAAACCCCTCATCCCCAGCCCCATCCCAGAGTCTGCACCCCCAGCTGATGCCCTCAACACCTACCACACTCCAACCCCCTGCCCCAGCCCAGTGAATATGAGCAAGTGAGTGAGGGTGGGGGAGAGTGAGCAACAGAGGAAGGGGGGGGATGGTATGAACATGGGCGGAGCCTCAGAGAAGAGGCGGGGCAGGGGGCGGGGCAACAGTGTTCAGTTTTGTGCAATTAGAAAGATCCGGTCAAAGTGACAAAAGTCAACAGTGTACCGTGACATGACAGGGGTCAGTAGCCACCAATTCCAGTGGCTAACGTTACATCCACCACTCCACATTACCAGGCACAACACAGCTGAGAGACAACTGACATTTGTGATTTCGGAAAGACACGTTTCCTGGCGTGGCTCCTATGTAGTAGCATTAGCAGCAGCTCCGTTGGAAGAGTGCTAGGCTTTAGGGCCAAATCCATTGGGTTGTTGCTGAGGCAATCTCCTGTCTGCTTCAATGGATTATTTGCCCGTTATTAGTAAGGACTAAGTAATGCTTGATGAAGACCTCAGCATTGCAATCTTAATGCAGATATGGACTAAAAGATACAAAGGGCCATTATAGCGAAGACCCTTTTGCATACAAATGTTTTATTTATTCCTAAATGATATAAAAGAAAGATACAATTCATTAAACCGGCTTTAAAGTCTCACTTCCCTAAACAAGAAAGCCACACTTAAAAAGAAAAAAATACCAGAGATTTCAGCCTGTCACAATGGTATTAAAGAGATTCCTGGGACAGAACGTGTGTTTTAACAGCTGTGTTTTAAGATTACCACTGAACTTCAATCAGGTTTGTTAAGGAAAAATTACTTACTTGTTCCAGTGGAATGACAAGAAAGGACCCTCCGCCAGCACTCTCCGTTACTATGGCGAGGAACTTGGCATTAACAGCACAGAAGTGGTTGTCATGAACATTCTTGGTAATTGGAATCCCATCAAAGCAGTGCTCTCGGTTTGCCACTTTCCCATAGACATTTCGAAACTTTGAACTGCGATACTGCGGACGCCATGACATCTGTGGAGCAAATGTACGAAGATTTTTACAATAGTCCAGTCTTCATAAGGAAAGAGAAACAAATGCCACAAGTGACTTCTACACTTAACCTGCATGGTCACAGGAAAAAAACCATTGAGTAGTTGAAGTCCTCCCTCCTTGTCATTAGGAGATAATGTGGTTTAAGCCAGACCCTGGTTACAAATCACCAAACACTCTGGACAGGTTCAGATCCTCTGGTGAACTTTACAGTTCAGATGTATCTCTACATGAAGGGCAAAAATTTAAATCCAGAGTTGTAGTCAGGAAATTTCTCTCTCTCCTTCTACAGAGATCTACGAAAAGAACTTGCAAGGGATGTTGGGAAAGTGTTCCAAAGATTTCTTTTAAAGCAAAGGAAGCAAAGCTTGGAACATTTGGATTGTCATCTGAAGATTAAAAGAAAGCTGGGTAGCTAACCAGCAGGCAAGCCATACTTTGTGTTAATGAGCTGTCTCATTCGCCTACTCTTCGCAAATGTACAGAGAACTATTCCCATGCTAACAACATCACTAAAAAAAAGCCGCGAGCTGCAATTAATCAAAGCCTGAATACAAATACAATAGTTTTACATTTACATAGTATCTCTCCTCAAAGTACTCAGTGAAACGATGAACAGCCATCTTTCTACTTTAAAAATACATATTCCTGTACAAAAGTGAACACACCTGGAAGTCAGTGGGCATTTGGGATACCAAAGAACTGAAAGATAGGGATCTATGACGTAGAATTAAAGATTCCAGGGTCTTGACATCTACTCTGTCTAGGATAAAAAAAGGGTTAAAGGCAGTTTCCAGGCACACCCCCACCTGTCCTTGGGTCTTCCTTTTAATTTTAATACTTGTCCTTTTTTCTCATTTTTCCCATTTGTGTGAAAGACCTACAACTAACAATGCAGGGGAAGCCCTTAAACTGACTATATTCAAGGTGCTGTTATGTGTATAAAGTCCACAAACTGGAAAAAAGTGAATTTCTGTCTAGTCCCACATATTACTTCCAAAAGTAGATTTTTAAAAAGTCACTTTTCAAGCTACAGGATTAAATGGAATGTATAGTATGCTACTTTACATACATGCAGCACAACCCCGTTAGCATTGCTGGAACATTTACCTCGGTCATCCACACAGATGCTGTAATTGTATGCACCAGAGAAGATTCCGGAGACCTATTTGCATACAGTTTCCCCAAAAGAGCGCATACAATCATGCTAAACACGTTCAGATGCAAACCAGTGCACCGTGCACTCATTTTTGCTTGTGCCCACTGTTGTTTAGAGTTTGTGATATGCACAAAAAGAAGAAAAATAAAATATGGTCCGACCTGTGCAAACATTGCTACATTAGTAGGGTTTGTGTGCGTGGTTATTTTCCTAAGTTTATTAAAGAAAAGTCCTTATGGTAGCACAAGTGCTGGTACCACAATAAAGCCTTACACTATAAGGAGTTAAGGCATTTTAAACATTTAGAAAAGCATGAGCTCTTACACCATTGTAAAGTGGCTTAAGCACTTAAATCTCTATCACACACTGACAATTTCATGCTTAGGGACTCAAAGCAGCTTATATTCTCCAAGACGGACTAGCATCTACTGACAGATGAATTTAAGTGAGCACCTAAACAGAGAGACACGTGCAATTGGACTCTTTCATTTGACAAAGCGAGGCTGTTTTTAAGATGGGCCCTTCCACACACTTCCTACCTTGGCATAACTCACACGAATGGTCTGTTCTGTAGCATTAGCTACATATCTACAGCATTCGCTGCCAGGCAAACACTATAATTACTAGAAGTGTATAATACCAGCCCATACTACTCCATTCTTAGCCAAAGAAAATCAAGCCAGATTCTGTACGAGACTCATCCAATCACAGCACCAAAATTATAGGTGCTTTATTCACCTTTTGACAATTGATAGTGTACAGTTAGTGTGAGATTTTGCTTTCCTTCATCCTGGGCTTTCCACAGAAAATAAGAAGTCTCTGCTTTTTTTCTGGTCAACATAAGAACGGCCACACTGGGCCAGACCAAAGGTCCATCTAGCCCAGTATCCTGTCTTCCGACAGTGGCCAATGCCAGATGCCCTAGAGGGAATGAACAGAACAGGGAATCATCAAGTGATCCATCCCCTGTCACCCATTCCCAGCTTCTGACAAACAGAGGCTAGGGACACCATCCCTGCCCATCCTGGCTAATAGCCATTGATGGACCTTTCCTCCATGATCTTATCTAGTTATTTTTTGAACCCTGTTATAGTCTAGTGTGTATTTTGTATATAAGCTGTTTAGCGGTGTCCTATACAATTGGGACTCAAAACAAAAAAAAGAAGAGTGAGATAATGTTCGTTTTCAGGATTTCAGCATCGTTAGATTTCTGGTTTTATGTCCCTGTTATTTTTCCCCCCCAAGCCAAGCCTCTGCTCTGGTCCAACCATAATGAGAGTGCATATTTCACTGGAGAGTTCAAGCGTTCCTCTCCTTCATCCTCAGTAAGTATTTCCTGTAAACAATGTCAAGTAGCTCAAACGCTTCTGTGCTGTACAGAGCCAAGAAGTGAAATATCTGGAAATTGCTTCACACTGTTTTGTTGAGAAGAACTGCACTGTGTGGTACAATGATCACTGCTGCTATCAACTCCCTGACACAGGGGGTTCTCTGGACTGAACTTTTTTCTGGTTGAATGTTTGTTTTTGGGGCAGAGGAGAAACAGTGGTGCCTTAAACAGCTAATCCTTTCACGTGGGAGACTCGACTAAGTCTCACACATCAAGCCAACCTCGCCTGGGAGAATTGTGGGGGTGAAGCTTTCTTGAAGGAAGGAAGTGCATCCCAAACAGCCAGCACAAATAGACCTCCAAGATTTAAAGGCCACCAGCCCACTCAGCTACATAGCCCATTATGATGCGGCTTGAGTTTCAGAACAGGAAGAGAGATGTTAGAAACGGGTGACAGTCAGAATGCTTGGGGAGGGAGGCTCCCAGACGAGTTAGGACAGACCAAGACAAGGGAAAAAACCCACTTAAAGGTGTTTGGGGTCACCAAAAAAATTGCTAAGATCAGGAGGTTTATAAAATTAGAGGGTTTTTTTAATGCTAGGGAAAAATAGCAAAAATACAATACAAGTTATATTTGCATAGCATTTTAGCTCCTATCAACACGAGCAATGTCAAGAACCGCTGATGACATGATTTCTAGCTCTCTCCTCCCTCCCAAGTTTTGTCCTCCCCTTTCCAGTTGTTAAAACCAAGTGTGCTGACCTGGTGCAGGATACCCAGATGTTTCCCAAAGGAGAGGAGAGCAATAGTTCTGTGCTTTAGCCCAAGTTCCCATGCCAGTGTGTTCTCCAAGTTCTCAGGCAGGGATACCTGGGCAGACATGAAGGCAATTATGGGGTGAAATCCTGGCCCCACTGAAATCAAAAGTAAAATTCCCAATGACTTCAAGAAGGCCAGGGCTTCAACCATGATGTTCCATATTATCAGTGTAGTCTAGTTGCTTGGATGCAGGACTGGAAACCTAGAGTTGTGAGATCTATTTCTGGCTCTGCCCCTGCTGGATGACCTTGGGCAAGTCACTTCATCTCCCTGGGCCTCAGGTTTTCTCCCCTCTGTACATAGCAGTTAGTGATAGGACTGTGTTTGTATATCACATAGCACAATAGGGTCCTGGGGTTGCTAGGTGCTACAGGAACAACAAAATAATAGCAGCTAAAAGTGTAATTGAAGCAAGAGAAACTAGCCAATATGCCCATAACAGCAATACCATTTTGAAACACAGTTCTTCAGCAGTATATGTGGCAGCTGTCTGTGGACTCCTTTCAAACAAGATTTATTTGATGTATCTTAAGTCAGGTATTTACAAGGTTTCTGGGGAAAATTGGATGCGTTTTCTTTCACATCAAGCTATCGTTATCATTAGTGTGTGAAAGATGGAAGTGAAACATCTCCCCGGGGCCCCGCATGCCCTCTTCCTCATGTGAGTAACCCTGACTGTGTGTGTATGTGTAAGCTAGAGGGACAGGATCAGGGCTGAGGGTCCGACAGTCTCCAACCTGGGGGAGTTACTCTTTTTACACATGTTATACTCAGTTCTATGAACTTGTTCAGCTTGTTTCTGGTTGGGTTGGTTTGCTATCATGAGCTACGTGTTCTGGGCAACAAAGTTATTTCGAAGAGGTAACACATGAGGGATTGCTGTTGACTTTAATTTTGAAGTGTGCACATCACAAAATCTTTCATTAGTGAACTCTAACGTCTTGCATTTTATTTCTCCACTTATTGGACTCCACTTACCGTGAAGTAGAAGCGTACCTTCTGCAGCTGTTTTGGAATTCAGAGAGCGATTCTCCTCTTACACCAGTGTTGCACCCATGTAAGGCCAATGGAGTTACCTCCAATTTGCATGAGCGTAGAATCAGTCCCAAATCGTTTTGATCTGAGCTGCTATTCTTTCAGACAAACAAATTTAATTGTAAGTCAGCTATCCTAAATCCTTTACAGGAGTGTTGTACTATAGCTGATTTGTGACACAAAGAGTTGAGTGCAGCCTTATCCACGTTAACAAACAGTAAAATATTAAAAGCCATCCTTTCCTCCATGACCGTCTTGCATAAGCAGCAGTATGCTTTTGTCATTGTTTTGCTCCATGATTAATGCGAGATGCTAAAGGCTGGCTGGAAAGTCAGTTTTAAATACTTTGCTTCTCCAGTCCTGATCCTTCAATAGATTACTCTGGCAGATTAAGCTTTCCCATCTGGAACTTTTCAGGAAAGTAAGACCTGCATTGCAGCACTAATTGCATTTCTGTAATTCATGCACATTGAGGTGTTCTGGTCTCAACCTGAAAATTGTGGTTTGTCTTCCTGGTATTAACATTTTACCCCAAAAATCTGAGAGTAAATGCTTTCTCTGGTTTAGTGAGCTACCATAGTGTAACCAACTCTTCCCACGATCTTTATGCAAGTGTTTTCACCTGGATGGAGGAAATAC